GATCCGGATCTCAGATCGGCTCTACGCAGAGCAGTCCTCTCGCTGATTTGTAGATTTGATGAGGATAGACGGTGACGGATCAGATTAAATTAAAATAATTGGCAATTAAAATCCAAATCTCCTTAATTAATTAAGTGTTAATCATTTTACGTGAGGGGTTCGTTACACACACACAAAAACCTTAGCCTCTACCTCATCCATAGCTGTTTGATCCAGATCTCAGATCGGCTCTACGCAGAGCAGTCCTCTCGCTGATTTGTAGATTTGACGAGGATAAACGGTGACGGATCTGTGGAGTGGAGGACTGACGGCGATCGATCTGTAGATCTGAGTGGCCTTCGGCGGCGACGACAACAACGAAAGACGAAGGGCTACAGCAATAATGGGAGAAGGTAGCGGCGCAAAACGGACAACGACTCTAGTGTCACGACAATGGTGGTGGTGCGGAGGAGTAGAGAGAGAGAGAGTAGAGGGTAGAGTGAGAGAGATAGATTGTGATTTGTTGCTCATCAAAAAAGATTGTGATTTGTTTGTTTTGGTTTGTTTGTTATCGTGGTGGTCTGTGTGGTGTTTGGGTTTATTTGCTATTTGTTTTGGATTGTGGTGTTCGTGATTTGTATATCTAAATAGATAAGGTTTGCAGGGACGTAGTTAGGAATTTCAGTTAGTGGTGTCATTTAACCAGTCAACATTGTTATTATTTTGTATTTTTAGTTCTACAAAACCTATTAATAATATTAGCATTCACATGATAGTTGCAAATTACATATATATTTTCGATTGCATTGCAAAAAATAATTCAAATTACTAATTTTAAAAAATCTTAATATTTCAACCAAAAAAAAATCATTTTATAAGAATAGACACTATAATGGTCGTTAGAGAACTATATTGTTGAGACTTGAGGGAGAACAAATTGTTAGAATTATTCGAGGATAAATGCAACATAACTAACTGTCAGAATTATTTGAGACATCAAACATAAAATCAATTGGTTATGTGTAGAGTAGCCTTTAAATTATATAATTCGAACTTGGGTGATTTAGAAAAGATGTGGATGAATCAAACTTTGGGTAGTTTAGAAAAGTTATGTGGGACAAATCTCAAATAAATAGGCAAACAAATCAACAAATAAAGGGCATAAAGACAAACAAATTAGATTGCATTATGACATTAATTGGCCATAAATGGGGTAGTTGCTAGATTATATGAACTCAACTTAAATGGTTTAAAAAAAATGCTATGGAATAAGTGTCTAACATGAACAAATTATGAATTTATATATAGAAGATTAAAAATGCAGCATAAGGTTTGATTTTTGTTTCTAACTCCATTGGAGTCAATTTGTAAACTTTCAAAACTTGGTATTTTATTTCTAGATCTATTGGGTTCAATTTGTTAATACTCAAAACTTTTATATGAAATTTACATATACTCTTTAAAAAAATTTTGAAGTTTAGTGGTGTCAACTGACACCACTGCCATCAATATAGCTACGCCCCTGGGGTTTGGTTTGGATTTGAATAGAGAGAGAAAAAAAAAATTAGAACATATAGGGTTTGGTTTGGATTGCAACAGATAGGTGTTGGTGTATATATGTATATCTGTGAGTGTGTGTATGTATGAGACAGATCTGGAATAGATAGGTGCTTGTGTGAGTGTATGCATGTATATTTGTAAGTGTATATATGTATGTATAACTGTATGAGTGCGTGGATAAAATTCATACACTACACATACACACATATATATATGTTGAGAATTGTTAATGGATTTGAATAAACATGTGTTCTAAAATGATTGATAAGACTTGGTGGAACCTAATTTTGTGGGCAATTTTTTTACAAGGGGCAGCCAGAGAGGGAAGACAAGGTTTCGTTGGACAAACAAAAAATGAATAGATAAAAGAATTTGAACAGATAGAAATTTTAACAAATAAAGAATTTGAACAGATAAAAAAATTCAACAGATAAAAACTTTAAATAAAATAAAAAAAAAATTGAACAGATAGGGGTTTTAACAGCTAAAAATAATTTCAACAACGAAAAGTGAAACAGATAAAAAAAAAGTCAAAGGGTAAAATTAGAAACAACATGTTCTCTAGGATTTTTCACCAAATTATTACACAAAGTGTGGACCTCTCATCAATAAAAAAAATATCTTTGGGACCTAATGTTTTATACCCTTCTTATATTGAATTTATCACCAATTAACCTTTTTTTTAAAAAAATATTTTAAATATTTAAAAAAATTTAAAAAAAATTATTATTTTTATTTTAGATATGTAATTTTTATTTTAAATATTTTTTTATGTTAAATATCTTATTTTATTTTAATATTTTTATTTTAAATATTTTTTTACTTTTTTTAAATATTTAATTTTTTTTATATTTTAAAAAGTTTAGATCGCCATATATATCTAAATCATAACAAATCATAACAAATTGTTTGGCTAATAGTTAAAAAAATTACAAAAATTATTTTTGAAAAAATAAAAAACATTTTTCTTCAAAAATGAAAATAAACAAAATATTTTTTCAAAAAAATATAAAATAAAAATAATTTTAAAGAACATCCCATAAAAATAATTATATTTTTTACATATAAATTGAGATTAAAGACAATCTTATAGTATGTCATCCACATTTTTCAAATAATAATTGACATTTCTATTATTTTATGAATTATTGGCGTTTGTTAATAAAGTTGACATAAATGAATGTTTTTAATAGGGGTTTTTTTTAAGGTCCCTGGTATTAACATTTTATAGTATAAAGAACACCAAATATTTTTATAATGTCTAAGGTCCCTCAAGTTGATCCAGAGAAAATTGGTCCAGAAAAAATTAGTCTAGAGAAAATTGGTCCAGAGAAAATTAGTCCAAAGAAAATTCACATCACAGAGAAATTTGGTTCAGAGAAATTCTGAGAACTTTCTAGAGAAATATTACAAATTTCTCTGATTTGAGAAAGGAATGGAAAATTAGAAAATTGATCCAGATAAAATTTCAAATACATGCACTTACACCCATTGTGGTCCAAGGTAAAGCACAGAGATCAGCAACAACTCTCCCCATTATCAAATGTGTTTTCATAATGTGTTTTAACCAAATTTCTCTGACTTTCAAATTTATCTCCAGAGAAATTTTGAATTTCTCTGGAACTAATATTGATGTTTGCAGATTCGTCCACCAAAATTCTCTGGACTTCCGAATTTCTCTCCAGAGAAATTTGAAATTTCTCTGGATAATCTAAGCACAATAGGAGCTATTTGCAGGATGGGAGTAACCACAACATATACAATTCCTAGAAGGAAGTAAAGTTGAAGGCTTGGAAGAGTCTCTGGAAAATCCACACTCCCAGGGTTCATTGCCCTCTCTCTGTCCCTTACAGTTTTCACCAAGAACGTGTTCTTAAGGTGAAAAATGACCAAAGGCTTCAACCTGAGAATCTCGCTTGCAATTCCAGCCCACCCATCAACCATTATGGCGCTGTTTGGGAACCCAGAAATGACCAAACCCCAGCTCGAGCGAAGAACCAAAACGACATCTCGCTCGAGCGACCAACGCCTCGCTCGAGCGAAGAACCAAAAACCTGGACAGCAACACTTGGTTTCTAAACCCAACCAACCTGAAACAAACCTGCCCAACACATCCTATAATTCCAAAAGAGAAAATAAAGGACAACAACAACAACTATACAATGACAGAATCTACGGAACCTAAGTCCGGATACAATAATCAAATGGGAAAGACCGGGGTCGCTATACTCTTCCATTACGAAAAGTGGGAGAGGGACCCTAGGCCAATTTTTCCTTTTTAATAACTATAAAAATGTGTGTCATAAAAAAATGTATAATTATTTTAAATTTTATTAACTAATACCCATGCAATGCTTATTTACAAGACTTGAGAAGGGAGAGGGATAAAATTGTTAGAATTGAACTAACATTTAAGAGTCTCAATCACTAACAGCATCATGCAAAAATGACAAATATTAAAATTCAATTATGATATATTCTGGTGTCAAAATTTTATAATTAGATAATTATATTTTAATGATACAAATGTTGTTTTTTTCTTTTATATAAAATATACTGTTACAAAAACAGTTAAAGATCACATTTTCACAAATAAAATTATCTCATTTTTATTGAAAGTGTGATAAAAAAAATTAGATTGATATTTTAATCAAATTTAATTTGAGTAAGTGTGATAATATTTATTTTTAATCTTATTTTTTAAATAAGTATGATTATATATATATTTTTAATCATATTTTCTAAATAAGTGTGATTGTATGTATTTTTTAATTTTGATTTTATATAAAATAATTTCAGATTCTCCTATCCGTAAAAATTCAAACCGGCCATAACTTTTACATTTTTTATTTTTATTGCACAGTACCAGAGCAGCCCCACACACACAACACAGCACAATTCAATTTATATTCATTGTGTTTAGTTTGAGTTTTTTGAATTAAGTTTTTTGAAAATTGAATTTTTTGATTTTCGTATTTTTTAGTTTTTAGTGAATATTTTTAAAATTTAAACATTTTTTTTAACTTTTTAGATGCATTTTACTTAAAAAAATTGTGAAAAAATATTATTAAAAATTAATAAATATATAAAAATATAAAAAAATGTACTGAATTCTCGTTATTTTTTTTGTATATAGTGAATTTTTAAAAAGTTTTTTTCAATTTTTTTTTTTACTTTTTAAGTATATGTATGTTAGGTATGTTTAAAAATTAAAAAAATTGCTCAAAATATTAAAAAAATTCAGTAAAAACAAAAAAATACGAAAAATAAAAAAATAGAATTTTCTGAAAAATATTTTTGAAAAATGATAACCAAGTATAGTGATTATTTTTTAATTTTTTTTTTCAAACCTATGTATTTTGAAAAATTGATAAAAAATGAATTTTTTAATTTTTTTAATCTATTTTATTTTTATATGAATAAAAAATATAAGAGTTCATCTGATTCAGAATGAACAAAATGTTAAAAGCTCGCTTGTTTTTGGCTTCCCAAGAGACCCCTATCTCTCACACTTCTCTCTTCAAACCCTAACCCTACATCCTTTGATCGGCGGCGACTAATACGAGCAGCAGTGAAAGGCGAGCAGCAGCGGCGGTGATCGACTGAGGTATTCACCCAAAAAAATAAGAGCGACTGAGGTATTGATATTGATTTTGAAGTCGAAGCAGGTGGGATTTTTCAAAGATCTGATTCTGTGAAGTCTAAAAGTTGTCTTTCTCATGAACACAGGCACACGGTTGATTTGATTCATTTAGCGTCGCATTTTCAAAGAGTGGAGCAGCAGAGGTATTCTATGCAAGTCAAACAGGAAAATGGGTATGTACATGTTTCTCTATTTGAGTACTCTGTTGCTTCTTTTTTTTTTTTCAATCGAACACTTCAGTAGTTGAAGTGCCTTTCCAATTAATGAGTTTCTACATGTTATGACATGGATGATGATAGTCTAGAGAGCAAAATGAATGGGAAGTTGCAGAATATATTAAAAGCAACTTGGGATTTCTACTCTCTCTCTGTATTCTAGAAGGCAACACCAAACCAGTTTTGCTATGGACAGCCAAGTGGAGCGCCCAAGACTTCTTCTACTCAACAACCACACTCCTCTAAATCTGGTAATTTCTTGGACTCTCTCATATCTTTTTCTCAATTCTCACAGTCAATTACAATGATTCCCTTCTCTCTCGTTTCCTTATCAGTCCAGTTCTCTGGGTTTCTCTCTTCTCATCAAACCCTCAAAATATTCTCCCCCTTGTCCATTTAATTGCTTTTTCACAAACCCATCAAGTTCTCTCAACATCATTTTCTTATTGTATTGATCTTAGTTTTTCATATATAATTATGTAACTATCTGATACCGGAAAACCCATTTGTAGATTCCATTAAATTGTTTTTGGACTTGTAATTCTTGTTTACTTCCATTGTTTAATTGAAGTTTGTAATTATATATACATATATATATATATATCTTGTTTTCTGAGGAAACTGAGGAGAAAAATTTGAAGATTACGTGTTCGAGATATTGTCCAGCTGATTAGTAGGTTCTTCAAAGATTAAAAAAGAACAAAGAAAAGAACATTAGTATATATATTTAAAGACTAGTAATATACATTTTCAGTTTTATTTTATAAAAATGGGGTTTGTTTTGACTCAAAATGAAAATTTTTTGGTGGGTTTAGTGATTTTGACCTTTCTTGCACGTTCTGGCCATTGTTTCCATGTGAATGCTATGTCATGCAATGTATCTTTGACGGAATCATGTCCTGCTTTGCTATACTATGTTCCTAAAATTCCGAAACCCCTTGAAGAGACAACTTCCTTATTTCATGTTAATTCTAGTTCAGTGAATAGAAGTGTCGAGGGTTTTTCCATTGTAGTAGATTGCAGTTGCCCTGCTGGTCACAGTGAGTTCACTTGGCACACAGACTATACGGTCCAACATGGGGATACGTGGGAGAGCATTTTGGAAAAGTTTACATCATTTGTGGTGGAGAAGCCCAATAAAATTGAATCACAAACTATATCTTTAGATCTTGTATGTGGCTGTTCTAAGGGTGTGGAGATAGTAAGCTACAGAGTTGAAAGTGGGGATACACTTTTTAGGATTTGTTCTCGTTTTAATACTGTGGTAAACATGACTGCAGAGTTGAATAAGTTGGACAACCCAAGCCTTATTTATGCTGGAGATGTAATTTTCATCCCCGAATCAAGTGTGAGAAACTGTCAATTATTTTGTTTATTATGCCATCTTATTAGGTTTACACACTGCTGGAAAAATGACTTTTAGCGGCGTTTTAAAAACGCCGCGTTTGCTCTGGCTTGTTTCTGGATCAGAGTTCAAAATTGCATCCCAGCATAACACCTAGAGGATAGGCACTCCTTAAGCAGATCCCTTGCCTTAGAAATATGCACTGTATGCGCTAATGAAACAAGATATTCTTATTAGTCCGAAACTTAAGACTTTTCATTTTTTGTTTTTAAATAATATAGACTTGATTGCAAAGTGAGGTTTTGTTGCATCATATTGAAAAATAATTTGCTTGTTCTAGATTTGATGTTTGGAATGGTTTGGTGACATTGCAAATGACTTTTTGGTTTCATCACATTTTTCTCGTTGAAGATATGTGAATTCTATGTTACCTTGTTTATTTTCAAAATTTGCAACTCAGTAGCTGATCATATCTTTTTCCCTTTGGACATTTATGAACAGGAGGCCTAAAAAACCTTATCTTTGTTGATGATAAAGGTAGGAAACAAAGTTTCTTCTTCATCATCATCTTCTTATATCCTATCTTCCTCTTCCTCCTTTATTTCTATTGTTTTGTTCCTTATTTGATTTATAAAATAGATATGCAGCTATTGCTCTCTTTAACTGTGAGACTCCCTTAAACCTACTATTATTTGTCAATCGAACCGTCGGTTTTTGATAAACAAAACAATAATTTCTAATGTCAATTTTGTCTATCCGCCACCCGCCGTACGGTTTCTTTTCCAAGTAGTTTAATGCTTTGCTTTCTTATATGTCTAATGTTCATTGATATATTTGGTTGTTATATGAACTATGAACTTCTATCAAATTATGCAGGTCATTGAGTTGTTTGATGTAAAACTCTCAATGCTTGGATCTCACCAACTCGAAAATGCTGCAATTGCGGTGCGGACCTTATGTTTCTATTTTCCATTTTCCCTAGAACATTAGAACAAAATTGCTATATATACTACCATAAAATTTTGCTGTATCCAAGTTGCTCTGTTTTTTGACTCTCTTTTTTGTCAAGTAAAATAATTGTATGAACGAGCATCAAGGGGATGTGGCCCATATAAACATTTTTGTCTTCCATGCTATGTTTGGATCTTGGATTTGCTGAGGAATTTATAGAACAAAAAGAAAAAGAAATATAAGATTATTTTTTTTTTCACTTTTCCCGGCCTTTTCTTTTCCCTTCACAAATCCCTCCTCAAATCAAGGATCCAAAAACACAATCTCAATCTTTTATAAAGGAAATTTGTAAGGGTTGGTTAGAGGCTAGTATCAAAGATCCAAACACAGCCTCAATCTTTTATAAATGAAATTTTAAGGGTTATAGCTTATATGATTTATGTTTTCCGGCAAATACCAAGGAATAGCTTTGGCTGATACAATTCAGATGACATTTTCGAAGGCAAAATTGGTTCTTGTGGTTGCAATGGCAATTGACAAAGACCATTTGGGTTTTGCCAGAGAACTACTTTCAAGTATGTTTTTATCATTTTCTCTATCTGTGTATATGTTTGGTATAGTTATATATATAGTTGTACTTCCTGCGTTTGGAGAATAATAAAATGGGAACATGAAGCTTAGCCAGAGCTTACGTGATTTAGAGATTAACAAATAACTTGCATTTTGTTTGTTAGGGTGGAAAACATTTTTTACATGTGGTACAATGGAAAATGACAGTGAGTGAAGAACACTTTTCGGTGCTTGGTGCTTGGTTTATCTTATGTAGTCAAATGATAGCAAAAAATGAGAATATGGGTTTATTTCATGTTTGATTATCTTACACATTCAATTTTTGATATACGTCCTAAATTTTCTGCTTCAGGCATTGGTTTAGTGACCAATTTTTAAAGTTCTTGTAGTTAGACAAGGTACTTTCAGGTTTTTCCATGGTATTTGCTGAATTCTTTTGCAGCTAGGAGGCAGGGGTAATGATTTTCAGTGATTGGTTTTTTGGGAGCTTAGGTTAAATTGGCTCGGGTTTGGGTTAATTTTCATGATTTAGGAATTTTTTCCCATTTGTTCATCTTGGGTAATGCTTCCTTTTAAAAAAAATACATCTTGTAGTCAAACTATTAGAAACAAATGTATTTGAGCCAAGCCGAGCTAAGCCTCACAAATAGTAAGCTTATTCATATGCTTCTAGCGGCTTTTGAATTAATTTGTTTTTTTTATTTTTCAGGTCAGAAATTGCTTGGAGAGATACAAAATATGGTCAAAGAATTCAAGAACTTTGTGTTTCAAGTTTTTTCATTTTTTAATATATGTAATCACAGTTATAAACTTTTTATTAATTCTTTTTTGTATTCTTTTGAACATTCAACTTTCATTTATAAAATATATGACGTTATTTCATTCAATATGTGGTTGTGATTCAAAAGATAGTATATAGTGTGCATTATATTCTTAAAATGTGTGTACAAAAATAATATTGATTATAAGTCAAATATGTCGAATTTTTTTTTTTATCACACGCATTAACTGTGATGAGAAATGCATATAAAGTGTGATCATATTTTATTATTAATTGCTGAGATTTTATTAGATATTGATCACTTAAAATTTGTGATCTAAATATTTATTATCACATATTTTAGTAATTATTAATCACACTTAAAATATGTGATTTAAATATTTATTATCACACTCAAAACATGTGATGAAATCATTTTTTAGTGACACTGTGATTAAAAATAATTTTTTAGTCACATTCTCAAAGATTACATTTTAATAAAACTTAAAAAGTGTGATTAAATAATATACATCACACAAAAAAAGTGATCTATTTATGATTTTGTAGTCGTTACATCAAATGAAAATACTATTTTTGAGTTGATGAAGATAAGAGCACAAAAAAAAAAAAAAAAAAAAATTTGAAACTTGAAACCTATGGGTGTTTGATTTTTGACCTCATAACTAAATAGATCTTCTTGCAGATCTAGGGAACTTAGCGGTAAAGCACACGGAAGAATAGATTAAGCCAAACATCTACATATAAGAAGATAATAAATACCACAACGACTTGTCCACCCGAGGCCACTCTAACGATCAAGTCAGTCAATAATCTCATAGGATATCGGTACAAGTAAATCACTCATAAAGAAAAGTGTGCTTTAGATATATGAGGGTGCCTTATTTTTATAGCCAATAGTGCCTTCATCTTCTAGAAATCTTTCTTCGTGGGACTTTATCATTTATAAGGATAACATTTATCTAGGACTCCCCCTATTCAAATTAGAATGAACTCCCTTAAGAGTCTCATCTCTATCCAAAGAAAGAACCTCAAATCATCTAGGACTCTTGTCCTCCAGATATCTCGGATTCCGATATGATAGCATCATATCTCGACATCTCAATCCATCCATGTGGCACTTCGGCTACTAGCTCAACCACGTGGACAATGCTAAAAGTTGACATATATGAATGTTTTTGTTCTCGTTTAATCACTACTTTGTCAAAAGTAAAGAAAAGCTTAGGGTATGTTTTTTATTTTTATTTTTTATCTTGCTAATCAAATTGTTTTTCAAAAGGTCGAATCAGTATAGATAGTGTTTGGAGTGGTGGTGATTGTGAGGTGTGATCAGTGTTTGGTGTGTACAATTGTCTATTGTTTTTGGTAAGTGATCTATAGTTTGGGGTGTTGAACCATAGAGTTTTATACCCTTATTGAATGACTATAAAAGTCTGATTGGAATCACATTTGGCCGGCGTAATTTCGAATCGAAATTTGGGTAAATTCCTTGGGAATGAATTGGCTTTCCTACCAAAGCTGTGAAAGTATGTGTTATGTGTTACGTTCTAAACTGATATTATTTGCTATACGTATATATCAAATTACTTGGTCTGTTTAAAGGTTAATATCTAACCTACCTATATATGTAACGAAGTCAATACGGGTATTACAAGTATATGTATGGGATAATAAGTGTATATATGCCTTTATTTAAATTTGTTCAACAATTGATAAATATAGGATCCATTTACTTGGATATTTGCAACTTGATCCGAGATTGTTAAAATTAGAAGAATGTGAGCAAGACTTAAAATAATTGGAAAACTGATCAATAAAAACCAATAGAAATTTTCACACTCAAGTGCTGAGCTATTTATGCCGTGATAAAATTTATTTCATTTAGGGTGAAACCCCAATCAAAGATTTACAATACAAAAAAATACGTAGGAAAAAAAAAAAAAAAAGAAAACAGAGGGTCTGTCTCAACTTCTGGCAACGTGTGAGATCACGGTGACAAAGATCCTAGGCCAATCTCACTTGCCGATGGCTTCACTGCTCACCTCTATTGCCAATTGCCTCGCCTTGGAGTTCCTTCTGGGGAACTCCAAGAAGGCCCTGCCTCAAAGTTTGCTGGATTTCTGAAGGAAATCATTCCCCATTGGCCATCGAATGAGGAACTAGGGGGCTAGTCTGGATATAGTCGTTGCTTGCCACTTCAACTCCTTGTTCTGTTTCTTCAGCTGGCTTATCTTCTATCGAGCGTCTTCGTACGTACACTTGTAAAGGGAGAGTTGTGCACTCAACCGCTACACCTCATTTGTTTTTCTCTGCAGCCAACATGATATATTGGATACCGCAGTCACGGTTTCCACACGAGTTCAATGTGTGGAGTTGGCATCAACATCGGATTTTGTTGCCAGCAGTTGCTTGACTGACAATGCAGGAAGTTGAAAACAAGGGTAGGGGTACTCTAAGGAGGCTCTGAGGAACCATGTCAAGTACCTTGTCTAGAGTTTGGTTGAGGTCATGGAAAAGGGTAAAAGGACGAGAGGAGGCCATATTAGAGAAAAATTCGAGCTGTAATGGACTGATTTTGGCAAAATTTGGCAGATTGAGGTAGATTTTCACCCTGTCGTTTCCCTCTGCAAGCTCTTCTTAAGAAGAGAAAGAAAAGAACGAAGAGGACAAAGAAGACAAATGAGAGGACAGTGGAGAAAATCGAGGGCATCTGTATCATCAGGCACCGCACCACAGTTGTGGACTTTACAGAGACATTGCTTTCGATGCTTCGGGAGAAGACGAAGAAGAAAATGGAGAAGAAGAAAAAGGGAGGTGCTCGACGCCTCATCAGAGGGAAAAAAAAAATTATGAAAACGATTCGCCCATTGGGAAATGATGGCATGATTAGTTAAGAATGACTTAAACAACTGAAAGGAGGGAAGGGCGAAAACTAAAAAGGCAAATTAGTTTAACAACCAATTAGTATAAAAAGCATACTAGTTCATAAAGTTGTGATTAAGACAAGAAATTAGATATTATGAAAATTTGGAATTAAAAGCTAAAGATCCAACCAAAGACCAAAAAGAATAGTAGGAAATAAATATATCAAAGTACATAGCGAAAATGAAAAGATATTTTTATAAATCAATTTCGTTCGAGGACAAAATTTTTAAAAGAAGGGAAAATTGTGACACCTCGAATAATACCATTTACAGGAATTATACGATAATCTATATTTAATACCTTAAGCTAAATTAGTTACTTCATAGTATAAAATAGTTAAATTGATACTTGAAAAAGAATATTTGATTTATAATTGTGTGTGCTAAAATATAATTTAATTAGGGGTTATTGTGCTTTACCAAAAAATTGGAAATGTGTGAATTCTTTAGGAGCCATGTGGTTGGCATGGTTTAGAGGCATGTGGATGGCATGGGTTTGAAGCCATGTGTTGACTTGAACTCACCCATAAATAGCTGAGTTTGAAGTAAAGGAAATATGGGAAAAACAAACAAGCAAGCAATAAGAGGGAAGAGAGAGTTAAAAGTTAGGGGTTAATATTGAGATGAGTTTTGTTATTATTTGAGCTATCATAAATTGTTTTATGTAAAATCAATTTTGCAAATTATATTAGTTTTTAAAGTATGTTATTTGTTAAATGAACTATATTTGCATAAAAAGGGAAACTCATGGATAAAACTGTTATTTAGATGTGTTTTTGAGCAACTGTTTTGAAAGTACTACTGTACGGGGGCGAAATATCCTCTGCTTTCCGTACTCCTTGTACTCCAAGCTTCTCTTGACGGCGTCTACCTGGCAACACAGAAACGGTGAGCTACCCGGCGGTGGTGTGCCGGATAGACCCTCCGACGATCTAGTCAGTCCACTTGAGGAAGAAGACTGATAGAGAGAGAGTATTCTCTTTGGGGAAGAAGTTGCATACCTCTAACATTCGTCCTCCTCCATATTTCAACGCTGGCCATGCAACCTCAAGATTATGCGCGCACTACCTCTACTGTCCTTCCCAGGACAGGTGACAGTGCTCGCCTCTCACCACCTCACGCGTGTAAAGGCTTAGTCCTCCCACCAGTACACGTAGAACTGTCTAACGGTATTGGCGCATGCTTGGAGCAGATTTCCTCTCTCCATCACGCCATTAGCCCAGGTGGTACACTTGACCAGAATACCACGACCGGCTATCACTTGTGGAGAGTTGCCATCACATGCACACAACCGAGCTATGCATCGCCGACTGTCCCTTGCGAAGGGGCCAAAGGCCGATACTCATGGCCGAGCTGATATTGACCGGTTCATTAGGCTAACCGGTCGTGAGGTATGCCGGCCTCCACCCGTCCTACCTTTATTCTCGGTCACACGAAGCCCACCTATCTTGGCTGGTCGGTCAGAAGCGTGCCGCGTCCATAGTCTAGCCCGGGTTGCTCTTAGCTTAGTCATCAGACACTGCTGCGCGCTCGGCCGCGTTATAGCTTGGCCAGGCATTGGTTCGTGTCTGACCGGTCGACCTCTCCGCCCGTGCAAGTCAGGCCGCTGGGCCGAGCAAGAGAGGAGTCTGCTCGGCGGTGTGCGGTTCGTCATGATCGGTGTTATCGTAGCTCGGCCGTACTAACGCGCAAATCTCCCCTCTCAACTACTATGAGGTCTCATGCCTTGGGGACTTAAATAACCATTGATCATGTGTGAAGTCACTGTTGTGACCCTGTGATATGCTGTGATGGTCTCATGTCTTGGGAAACTTAAATAAACATTGGCCCTATGTGAAGTCACTATTGTGATATATTGTAATGGTCCCATGCCTTGAGACTTAAATAACCATTAGCTCTGTGTGAGGGCCCTGTTGTGACCCTAATAGTCACTTTGTGACCCTGTGATGTACCGTAGTTATGATTGTTTTGCTTATACAAATTTTATACTGTAAATCTATTTTTATAAAATGATTTATATCAAACTATTGTCTGTTTAACCTAAATGATTATGCATGGTGATTTTATA